ATCCATCCATCCATCCATCCATCCATCCATCCATCCCCCGTTTATTTAATAATGCAATATGGGATATTTTTCATTTTTACTCGTTTAGTTATTTATCGGGCTATCCTAACAAATATTGTAATTAGTCAACTTCACATGGTATGACTATATTTTTCTTTAGAATGCAAGAAGTGTGCTCCTGTAACGATTCAACACTGTGAAAAAGCAGGTTACAGTAAAACCTTCCATTTCCACGACATCGATGGCAAGCCTTATCAAGAGGCCAAAGCAAAATCTCTTTTTTCTGTGCCTCTTTTGTCCCGATGCTCCAATCTCACACAGACAATCCTTTGTTCTATCTATGTACCAAAATGTGACGAAACAACTTGTTCGTCGAAGCCGGTACTTCCTTGTCGCAATGTGTGTCATCAATTCGTTCGAGATTGCGAAGCTGAGTTAAGACTTGCTGCACAGTATGGTTTGATGGTAGGATTATGTGACTTGTTGCCTTTACGTTGTACGAGTGAAACGCCTTGTCTCATACCAGATAACTTTGAACAAAAGTCTGTAGGTAAGTAATAATGGTATAGCTATGTGGCCCTTTTTCATTGTGTATGGACGTGAGTTAGCCGAGGACGTTTTTTTACTAATCAGTCGTCCCGAAAAAGACTCACAAGAAATGGAAAGAGTAGCTCGACATTAATAAGAAGGTTCACTTCAAATCATAGTACTATCTGGCAAAGGAGAAATGTCATCACCAATTGAATTGAAGATTTGTATGAAGAGATGTTTTTATCAACAAGACAAGCTCTAAGTACATTAATGAAATATTCGATTTTTATTTAACGGCRGCCATTTCTTTAAAGTGTCTATTCCACCTAACTTAAAATTTTCAGTTCTTCTGTTTTACGTTTTGAGCTGTCGTGAATTGCTAGTGCCAAGGTACTGTTTTCTATTACTGGAAGCTCATAACTTCTTTTGCTTTTGAGGGAAGTTGGATCATGTAACCTAACAGTAAAAATAGCTTATTCTATTTCTTATGCCTAATGATTCTCACCCAATATGCAGTTCTATTCACACGCAATGAGCTGCAATGATGACGCGTTCGGGGAGGCAGCATATGAGCAGCCTACATCATCCATCCGTGCCTTGAACATCACTAGTTAGTTTTCGTTATATATATATAATATATATAGTTTTCGTTTCTCGTGTTTAATAGCTCACCAAAGAGGAGTCTGTTTCCCGATATCCAATTCACACAACCCTTGTGCTAGAGACCTCTACTACAACAGAACATTCCTAACGCCATCAGATCAGATAAAAGTCAAAGTCCATTTGTTGGAGTTGGTTGTTGCTTCCAAGTGCTCACCCTACGTCGAGAGATTCTTTTGTTACACCAGACTCCCGCCATGCAGTTCAAATTCTACGAAAGGTCTTTCTGTGGCTCTTCCTTGTCGCTGGATGTGTAAAAAAGTGATTGACGATTGCAAAGACGCGTTTGAGAAGTATTCCATTCCTCTCGCTGATTGTGACTTTTTACCAGAAGAAGAAGGTGTTCATGGTATGTGCACAACAAGTAGATTTCCCGTACCGTTGCGTCATATCAAAAATGAAAATAAAAATGAAGGTAAGACAATCTTTGAGTGACGAGAAGCTTGTGGAACTTCTTCTAATCCTTCATCAGTAGTTTTGCAATTAACTAATAAACCTGCATCCCTCGTTGCAATGACATTGGGATTTAGAAATTTTTTCTAAGGTTAAAGTCCTGAGAAGCACAAAAAATACCCTCGAAATGTGCAGAAAGGGAATTAAGCCACTCTATTTTACCACATAACGACTACACAACCACATGCACAGGGATGAGAGCTGCATGGTTCACTGTATGCAGTGCGCACGAGCTGTTTTTTGCTTGAGTCAGTTCAAGCCGTCTTTTGAAACCCGTATCCTCTTTACTCCAGCTATATGAATGAATCTGCGTACAAACTACATAGCTTATTAATTCGTTCGTTCGTTCGTTCGCCGGTTCATTCGTTCGTTCGTTCTCTCATACAGTGATTCATTTACTTATGTACTTGTCAGTTTCAGTTTTATTCCATAGTCAATCATTCATTCACTTCTCCTTTCACACTTTACTTCACAGGAAATAATAAAGATGGAACGAACGCAGGCTTGATTGTCGGCATTATCTTTGCTATAATCATTGTTGCGGTCCTGGTAGTCTTAGGTGTGTTGTACTCAAGATGGAAAAAACAGAAGAAGCCTTTCGAACCAAAAGAGCTTCACAACATAGAAACTAAARCATGAATGTGCATGTTATCTCCAGTAAACTGTATATTGCATATATTTCTGCTTTTAATCGATAATAAGCAATCGGACTCCCTTCTAGTTGGTTATTTATTGGACTCAGTCAAGGAGGTGTCATCCACTCCTCCCTGATCTAGTGCACGGGAAGCCACTCTATGGAATTACTGCAAATAGACCTTTTTACAGATACGGCGGCCATCTTGAATTCTATTGTTTTAATTAAGGCATTGTGGGATGCTCGAGGAGGCATTTATTGACAAATGAATAGACTGCACAGCTGTCAGGGTTTCTTTTTATATAACATAACGCTTTTTAATTATGAGACGCACATTTAAAAAGCAATTTAATGTGCTGTTAGTGGGAACAATATGCGAAACACCAAGACGTTACCCCGCCACTTTCTGCGTTAAAAATGTTCTACGTGTTTGCCCACTCGGCATCCCATAATTCAAGATGGCCGCCCTATCAGTATATCAGTAAAAAGGTCTATTCCCATTTTTTAAAAACAATATAAAAAACGCACTCACATGTCACTTTAATGTTATTAGACACCATTTAAATACAAATTATTTAACTTAACCAACACACAAGATGTTTATTAATGACAAAGAATTAGCGGTTTATTGGGTAAGTCAGAAGTCCATAACTAGAAGTGTCCATCTGGTTTAGGGTGGCATCTGATGTGTTTCGGGAAACTCATTGCTCGAAATTTCACGCTCTGCGCTGATTGGTCTTTGTGATATAGTCAGTGCAAAACAATCCACGTTCGGCGATTCGTACTGCATTTCTCAAGCATTCCCGAAAAGTTTTTGAGTATTTTAAAATATTCTTAAGGACGTTCATGAGCAAAAGATCTCACCGTCAGATTTTTTTTTAAATTTTGCACGATGAAAGAACATCCTACTAGAAGTAAAATAAGCAAATAAAAAAATGGGGGTCCCCAACTTCCTTTGCCCGTCAGGTGAATACGTGGAAGTTCACCCTTTTTACTGTAAAAACGCGCGAACCTCGTAAACATGGAAAGCTGCCAAAAATAAGTAATATTTTATTCAAAAAATAAATTGGCCGTCCGCATTTTTCACAGAAGACTAGAAAATAACCAAATAACAATGCCCATGAACTCATAAACGCCCCATTCAGAAATATTAAAAGTAGACGCCTCTGAATCTTGGCGACCCGAGCTCAAAAATGCATGACTTGAGGCACGTACATGAAGCCCTTCCAATCCAGTTCTCATTTCTCATGCGCCTGGACATCACACTGAGTTTAAGTTTGTTTCTCTGCACCTTTTAATATCTCATAACTTTGCCATACAGCATATTATACATATATATTTTAATCCTTATTCAGTTGCGAGCAGTAGCGTAGCGAGGAGGGGGGGGGCACGGGGGGGCACGTGCCCCCC